GAGGCAAAGGGGCAAGGAAGGGGACGGGGCTGTGCCAGGGCGGCTCTGACCCACGCGGTGGCCACACGCTGCGTCCCAGCCTTTGAACCACAGCAGCTTCGGTGGCTTTGGCCGAGGGACCCATGACTCGGCTCCACATTTAACCAAAACCACACTTTTCCTCGGCTTTGTTTAAGAAGATGCTGTTGTGAAGTAAAGAAAAGAAAAAATAAATAAAAAGCAGCTGAGCCAGAGCTGTTTCCCCACAAAGGAGGAGCCTTTCATTTTCCTCCCCTCCGAGGCCGTTACCTGCAGGACGGGATGACAGCGACTCCCTCCCCAGACCGTGGCTGGAGGCAAACCAGACCCGCTCCAAGCTCCGCACAGCAAAAGAGAGCCAGGAGCTACCGTGGGTGAGAAGGACCCACAAGAAGAGGCTGTTTCGTTTCCCTGATGTGCTGCTTTATCTTTTATAGAAATAATAAAAAAATAAAATCCATGAAACAAATGCTCATACAGTGAATAAGCCGTTTTATTTTTGTCCTGTGCTCACACAATCTCTCTTCTTTCCCTGACAGGTCACAGATCATTAAAATAAAGTTTCTAAGAGGAAAATAATTTAAAACATACGCGCAGGGCTCCCTTCCAACCTCCCCACACCCACATCTCCACCACTTGTGCTTCGTCTCATGCGTAAGTAAAGCCGTTGACTCTCCAGAGGGCGGGATGGGAGAACCCACCGGGGTCTCGGCGAGTCCTTCTCACGCTGTTCGGGGTCGCAGCGAACGCACCGAACGCCCCGTGCTGCGCTCCGAGATCCAGCTACTTTCCCCGGAGCCTGGAAAAACGTCCCCACAGCCAGACATCCTCCCCATGGGCAGCGCCGTGGGCTGCTCCAGGCCTCCCTCCTGCATTACTGGGCTTCCTTCCCTTGAGTTACCACCCGAGTCTTCCCTCTGATGCGCCGCCCTCACCCCGTATCACATGCACAGGACTGGCTAGGAAAAGCCTTTTTTTTTTTTTTTTTTTTTTTTTTTTTTTCTTTTTTTTTTTTTTTTAAGCTTTTTCAGTTGCTGGTAAAGTCAGTACACTCCCAGCTGTGCTATATTGTAAATACAGCTTCTAGGATCGTCTCCGTGGCGGAGACCGACAGTGATCAAGGCACTACCCCCACCCCCCTCCTGAAAACAAAGGAAGTCAGACCAACACCTAGGGACAGAAGAGAATCCTATAATGTGATCACACGGTTACACTGAATCTTTATGGCAAAGAGAACATTTAGCAGCTTTGAACATTTGGGCTTCTCCCTTTTACTCAACACAAGCACTCTAGACCCTATAGGGAAAACCAGGGCTGAAGCCCTAAAATAAAAAATAAAAATCAAAGCGCGGTTAAGAAACAGGAATCCTAACAGCCGTCTAATTTCTATAAGTGACAAGCCCAGGGCCCGGGGTGGGAACCCTCCGCTCCCCTTGTGCTGTACGCTGACCAGGGTTTTTTGGGGGGGACGACCCCGACCACCCTTCCCTCCTTCCTCCCCAAGCAGTTCCGCAGCCGGTCAGTGGGAGAAGACAGCGTTTGCATGCAGGCTGCTGCGTGTGCCGGCTCAGCGTCCCGGCACGGCGCTGGCTCGGCGGCAGTGACATGCTCTTGAGTGCGGTGGGGAAACGCGTATCGCACTGGTTCTGTTAACCCTCTCCAGTTCCAGACATCCCCCACCCACCCCCCAAAAAAATAATCCTAAAGCTCTACGTGGCCCCCTCCTCCCCCCGAGGCGTCACAGCTCCTCCAGACGTACAGTAACGGTTCTCCCGTGAGCCCCTCCTCAGACTGGAGAGGGTTAATGGAAGTCACACCGCTTGTGTTTCCATGTGTGCACTGGTCTGCTCTAGGAAGGGATGTTGGTTAATCTGGAATTAAGTCAGATTGAATCACACACACCGATGTCAAAACTGGTTCAGGAAAAGGAAGGGGGAAAAAAAAAAAGGGGGGGGGAGGAAAAAAAAAAAAAAGAAGAAAACCAACTACCTGAAATCACAGAACTTTGGAAGTTCAGAAAAATGTCTCTCCTATAACTTGTTTTAAGTTCATTTGCTTAAATCTCTTTTCTTATTTAAAGCCAGTTCCTAACAGTAGTTTTTCCACCTCTGCCAATCTCACCACCAGTGATGCCAGCTCGTTTCCTGCGCTCAAAGGATTCCAGGTTGTGGAAGGCGCCGGGCTCACCAGTGCAGGGTCCGCTCCGCCCCGTCCCTCCCCGCAGGGAGCCCTCAAAACTCAGCCTGCAGGTCCCGCAGTCTCTCCCGTACACTGACCGGCAGCAGTCACGTTTGTTTGTTTTTGTTTTTTTGAGACGATATATCGGATAAGAAGGCATGAAAGTTCCTCTAAGTACTTCCAGGCTCAGCCCTTCTCCAGTTCTCACTTAAGCGAGTGTCCCACTCCTCCCGCGTCGCCATCCCTTCACTTCCTCCGGTCCTTCTGTTTCCGCTCCTGCCGCCGGGCCTGCTGGTCCGCCACGGCCCGAGGTATCAAAATGACGCTGCCGTCTCTGGCGTACTGCAGGGCGTACTGGCTGGGGGAGTAGGGCTGGCCGTTCTCGTCCCGCAGGCGGCCGAACACTTCTTGGTAGAGGTTCTGCACCTTTTGCTTCATCTGGCGGATGGACTTGAGGAATTCCACCTTCTCCCTGAGCAGTTTGGACTTGTCCCGTTGCAAGTCCTCGACGTCCCGTTCCAAGTTGAGGATGGTGTCCAGTTTCCTCTTGCGGCAGTTCTGGGCAGCCATCTTGTTCTTGCCTCGCCTCCTGATGTCGCGGATCAGGCTCAGCTGCGCCTCGCTCAGCTGGTACTTGGAGAGGAGCTCGTTGAACTCCTCCACGGGCAGGTTGATGATCTTGTCGTTGGTGAAAGGGATCTTCATGGCTCTGGCTCGATGCTCGTCCCTGCTCATCTGCTTATCCAGGAACTCGGACGGCTTCTCTTTGCTGCTCTTCTTGCCGGCGCTGGGCAGTTTGGGCTCCTCGGGATCCAGGGCCCCTGGCGCCATGTTGTAGGTGTGGTTATGGCCAACGTGCTCCAGGTAAGGCAAGTAATGGAGCTGCGACGGGTCCTGGTAGCTCATGCGGCAGAACTTGCTGTACTCTGGCTGGTATCCAACCGCCCCTTCCGCTTCTTCAAAGTCCACGTTTTCAGAGTCTGAGCTGTAGCCGACAGCTCCTTCCTCAGAAAACGAGGAGGAGGAAGAGGATGAGGAGGAAGAGGAGGAGGAAGAGGAAGAGGAGGAGGCTTCTGAGCTGCTCAGAGAAGCAGGACTGTGGCCGGAATCCAGAGAAAGACCTGAGTCAGAATCAAACTCCTCTTCCAGCTGTGAGGCCTGCACCGGGTTGAAACCTTCTTCAATCGCCAAGTCCATCAAGCTGATCTCATCAAGCATGGCTTCGTCTAGAAGACCGCCCAGCGGGTCTGGCAGCTCGGGGCCAGCCGTCTCGTTGACTGTGCTGTTCAACTGCGGAGGGAAGAAGATGCCGCTCAAGTTGGTGGAGCCGAAGGTGGTGTTGAGGCCGGTGGAGTTGTCCGGCGCCAGCTGGAGCAGGGCCGAGCTGCCAGCCATGGAGGGGCTTTCGATTTCGGAGCTGAAGAGGGAGAAGTCCTGTGAGCAGCTCCCCAGGGAGGCCTGATGCAGGCTGACATTCTGATTGATGGGAGTGTTCGGAGCGAGGCTGTAGTTAGAAGTCAGCAGGTCTCCACTCGTGCCGTTGTACAGGGTTTCTGCGGTTGTGTTGTTCACTTCCATAGCCTGGAAGAGATGCGAAACAGCTCGGTAAATGAGCCGCGCTCGAGCCCTGCCTTCGCTCCCTGTGCGTGCCAAGAAGAGACAGGACAATGCTTTTAGATCCCACGGAAGGAGCTCTCTCCAGCGGCCCAGCATCATCATCCAGCCGCAGGAGGGATTCGACAGCGGCGGCAACCACGGGCGGCACGGTGTCACCGCACAGGCTGGGAGAAAACCAAAAGCAGCTGCGCCCAACCCCAAACCACGATTGTCCAGGAATCAGGTGCTTGTGTCAGCCATCGAACCGCAACCCAAGGGAGCAGCAGCATGCGCCTGGAGGGACAAACGCCTTCCCACAGCCCCCACCTCGAGCTCACCTGCATTTCCATGATAGACATGAGGTCCTGCCACTGCTGCTCCAGATCGAAGGGCGACTCGGTCTCGGTGAGGAGAGGAGACAGCAGGCTGGTCTGGATGCCCGCAGACCTGCTCTCGCCGGGCACGGCTTCGCTCAGGGTGGAGACATCCGCAGCTGGAAACTAACCACGTGAGGCACAGTCAGTGCCCGGCTGAGGAGCCGCGGCCAGGGAGCCAGCAATCCCCAATGCCCTTCCACCTCCGCACGGGCAATCGCTTCTCCTTTGTTCAAAGCAAACCGGTTGCAGTTATTCCTCCACAGTTCACTATGAACTAATTAGAAGCAAAGCCAGAAGTCTTTAATTAATTGTGACCACCACCCCCCCTGCTAGTTTCGCAGGCACAACGCCTGGAGCCTCCTTAAGCAGGCTAACCCAATTTACTGCCGGTTCTGCGGTCTGGGTTAGGGGTACAAGAGGCACCAAAACCCCGGCGAGCGAGTGAACAAGAGCCGCCGCTGCCTCCGGATCTGCCGAGGGGCAGAAGCCGTCCCCCCATCCACTCACCTCCGAATTCTCCCCGAAAGGGAAGGTGGCCTCCAGCAGCCTAAGGCACTCCTCCAGGGACAGGGCTGTCTGATCCTCCGCACCGGGCACCTGATGTAAAACACAAGCAATCGTAGCCCCAGGATTAGGGAGGTGGTGATGAGAAACGAGCTCCTTACAGCAGGGCTTTATTACGGCGCATCCAAAAAGAGCCAGAGGCCCCACCCAGTGCTTCGCAGACTCCATCCTCCTGCTCCAAAGAGCGTCAGAGCAGCCCCCGAGTGCAGCGGGGAAAGGAAACGTGCTGCTTCTGCTCCCAGCGAGCCTCACCTACTGCCAGCGCAAGGACTCGGCTACAAGCTGATGGGGACTCTGCGCCTACCCGCGCCACCGCCTCTGCCAGACAACCAAAAGGCACAGCAAGAACCAGCCGCCCTCGTCCCAACGTCCTGCCGGGTGACGGCCATTACCCTGCCCGCCTTGCTGCGGCTCCCCGGCCCAGCAGGCAGCCTGCCTGCGCTTTCCCAGCATCAAATCCGCTCATCCACCCAGGCGAACCCTTATCGTGCGGCTCAGCACATCCCCAGCGAAAGTCACACGCGATGCCACTCGCCCCGACAGCCAAACAGAGGGTCCCTGACCTCGGCGGGGGCACAGACCCCCGGCACACTGCATCACCGCGGGCGCAGACCCCAGCCCGGCTGGCCCAGGGGTGTTACCTGCGCAGGGAAACTCTCCCCGGTCTCTCCATCAACTAGTAGGTTTCTATCCAAGATCTCATTCCCTCCGCTCCTCCAGCTGTCCCCGCGCTCCCTCCCATCGCTCAGCTCTTTGTCCACTTCGCTCTCTTTCTGACGGTGGCTGTAGTCAAAAATCTCTCGCCCAGCGCCGAGATCAATATCCTGTCTCCACAGGATGTCAATCAAATCGATGTCCTGAAAGACAGACCAGATTTCCTTCAGCCCTGGGCAGGGTCCCCACCCAAGGGACATTCCCCCTCCCCCCC